GAAGGGAGGGACGGAGGAAGCATACCCGGAGGGCTCTGATCTCTTCCTGTTTCGAAGAGGGTGGGCCGGGCGGAGGAAGTGAGGGAGGGCGGGGGGCTTCTGCGCCCGGTCTGGCGACGTCCTGGTGACGGCAGCGAAGTGTCTCCGACGACGGCATTGGTCCGACGGCGCGTGGTCACGTTTTGGCTGCTGCGTGCAGCGCTGGGGGGCAAGCCAGTGGGGGCCGCCCCATTGCTCCCGTCTAATTCGTCTCCGCTGATCACCGTCTTCAAGCCGGTATGCGAAGACTTCGGGGGCGTTCCGCTCCGACCCTTGGCAGTGTGGACATTGTCACTGCTCTGGTTGTTAATGTGGTTATGCTTGGTCCTGCCGCTGCTGCCTGTGGATGCCCGACGGTGCCAGCAAGAGAAGGTGGTTGCTCCCCCTGGGGTTGGAGAGTAGAGCCGATTGGTTATAGTACGACTAATTTTGCCCGCCCCCGAGATCGTCTGGCGTCTATAGGAGGGGACGATGGTTAGTGCAGGCTTACTCCACGCCGTGTTTGCCTGCGGATTGAAGGCCTCCTCGTTTCGATGGCTAGAGTACGAAGCGGAGGAGGAGGAGGAGGACGAGGAGGAGGAGGAAGAGGAGGAGGAGGAGGACGAGGAGGAGGAGGATCCGGCGGCAGATGATGGGGTTGCTGTCGAGGAGGGGGAGGATCGAGACAATCTGACGTCGGAGACTGGCACAGGTGAAAGAGAGGTTTCATTCTCGAGCGGCGTTTCCCTTTGTGACTGATCCATTCCCGCGAAATCGGGCGTGCCATGGGAATTTCTTCGTCTATTAAGAAGGTGGTAGGTGGCAGTCAGGGAGCCGAAGGCGTGCAGTCGCAAGGCATTCAGGAGCTCCTCCCGGTCCAATCCGAGGGACACTGCTTCTTGGAGCACGTTCTCGTCGAGCTTCACGTTGACATCAGGGGGGCTGCAGCCTGTCCCATCTTCCTCTTCTTTGCAGTCGGCCCCCGGGGGCGGACGAGCTTCCTGGTATTGAGTCGCCTTGACGTCCTTTCTTTTCCCCGTCCCGAGCTGCCGATACCACGGGTGGCGCTGAATATCGGGAATGGAGTAGCGTGTCTGAGGGTCGATAACGAGGATCTTGGCAATCAAGTCCTTCACACCGGGAGAGAGGAAGGAAGGGACCGTGTAGCGCCCCGCCAGGATTTTGTGGTAGAGTTTGGAAATGTTGGTGTGCTCGAAAGGGAGGTACCCGCAGACCATGGCATACAAAATGACTCCCATGCTCCAGACATCAGCAGCTGGGCCTCGGTAGGCAAGTCCGCGGATCATTTCAGGGCAGGCATAGCACGGGGAGCCACAGGCTGTAGACAGCAGTGTACCAGCTTCATGGGTGTTGGACAGGCCGAAATCGATGATTTTCACGCACCAACCCCCGGGGGCGCTTTTAGAGGACTGCAACAACAAATTTTCTGGTTTTAAATCCCGATGAGTCACCTCCATGGCATGCAAATAACCGACGCCGTCGACCAGCTGCTTGAAAAACGCCGAGGCCTCCGGCTCGGGGACACGCTGTCGTTTCACGATGTAGTCGAAAAGCTCGCCCCCGTCCGCGTTCTCCATGACCAAGTAGATCCTTGCAGGAGTATCGAGCACATCGTACAACTGAATGATGTTTCGGTGCCGGTTGCGTTTCAGGATGTCGATCTCTCGGGTCACCCGCCGCACGTCACCGGCGTCTACGATTCTGTTTTTTTCCAGGAGTTTGATGGCCACTTTTTCTCCCGTCAGGGCATGCACGCCCGCCTTTACCCGTCCAAACGTTCCTTCTCCAATGGTTTGGCCGAGGTAGTAGGGACCAAGACGGCGCATCGAGGACAAGTCCGACCGCGGACTCAGTATCGCGGAATCTCCAGGAGCAACGGTAGCGTCCGGGTGGAAATTGGCGGGAAGAGGCTTCTTTAAAGGCTCTCGAGTTCCCTCCTTGGACATGGGAGAGAATGATGCTTTTTGATATCTTGAGAAGACCTCCGTGGTCCGCTCGGCTGCCCGGCGCCTTTCTTGTTGCTGCTCTTCACGAAGCACCCGTTGCTGTTGCCAAGAACCGTAAATGGCCGCATCCAGGCTGCGTCGCCGTTTCTCCCGGCTTATTCGACGGCCTTTAATCGCATCTGGTGGACTTACGCTGTTTGTGACATGAGTCTTTATATCAGGCGTGGTGTCGATTGGGATACGGCGCGGGTCTTGAAGGGGCTCCAATAAAGTCGTCTTTTTTTTCTTTGAAGAGGCAGCACTACATGCGGGAGATCCCCAGGAAGAGCGGCGAGTGTTTGTCACAGGACTTGAAACAGATGGTGATGTGTGTTGCTGGGCATGTACCATGGATATGACCGAAGCGGGGGTCTTACCGCTTTGTTCTATTCTATATGGATTTGAGAAGATCGCGACAATGAGATGGCGACTCTAAGTGCCCGTGTGCCTTGATTTAATCGAAATACATGTCAATTATGGTCATTTTATCAATACAGCATCTAGTTCTATGCAAGACGCTTTCACGCCTATTTTAACAGGATTTGACACATTCTACGGCATCGGCCGTTTCAAATATGGGCCAGGAAGGAAATTCCGACGGGCCCGAGGCAGGCGAAGTTGCCATTGTCATCAGACATCGTCGAGGATATGAAAATAAATCTATAGTATGTTATATATTGTCGTTCATTTCATTGCCCAAATCGATGGTTGTGCGTCCTGAAAAGGCGGGGAAGGGACCAGAAATAGGGAGGTGGCGGAAGGGAGGGAGGGAAGGGCGGAGAAACACCTCTCACACGTAGTCCACAGAGCCTCCCCTATTGCGCCAGCGGCCGTGGAAGACGGAGGATTTCCTAGGTATCAATGGCGAGTTCGTCGTATGAACTTGAACTTGCTTTAGGTGGAAAACATTACTCTGTGATACGCGGGAGCGTCCACGCTTGATTGCCCTCTATTGGACTGATGGGTTTTAACACGGACATCCTTTATCCATCTTCTTCCGACAACATCCAGGAAGGCATTGGCCTGACTCATGTACAAGGAAAAACAGACAACATAATTGGCCGCTTTATCAAGTCGCCTTTCTTGCTTCACATTTCTTTAACGCGATTGGCCGGCCTGTCCTTGTCACCATCGCTGTCAAGTTCTGGAGGCTTTTTCTGCTGTGTGCACCGCTTCCCTCCTTGCCTTCCCTGCCTTAAAGAGGTCGGCGTTGCGCGCTTGGAAGGAAAACGCGCCACGGGCACAACGAAAAAGCGGGAAGACGGGCATACAAGGGAGAGCATTAAGGCTTGCGTGCAGAGATACGCATCGGCGGTGTCGTTTGTTTTGTTTGATTTGAGGCATCGCTTGGTTTTTCTCTCTGCTCCTGTTAGAAGTACCACTCAAGCACCGCGGCCTCGGACCCAGCGGGCGTCGCCTTTCGCACTGTGCTCTCTTCTTATTGGACCGTCAAAGCTGGGTGTTGAATCTCTAGCTTTCCCTCTCCATCTTCCACTGCAAAAGCACCGCCCGCCCCGGCATTTCTTACAGAGGCTTCGCCCACGTGTGTGTAATTGACCCCATATCTCCTGCCTTTCCTCTATCTCTGCCGTGTGTGGGTA